CCCCGGGGGGGGGCCCCCCCCCGCCCGGGGGCCGGGGGTGACCCCCCCCCGCAAAAAACCCCCCCTTTCTTTTGGGGGGGGGGGGGGCGCGCTTTTTGGGGGGGGGGGGGGGGGGGGGGAACCCCACGAACCCCCCCCCCGGGGGGGGGCCCCCCCTGCCCCCCCCCCCCGGGGGGGGGCCGGGGGGGGGTTTTCCCCCCCCCCGGTGTTGCTTTCAAAAAGGCCCCCCCGGGGGGGGGGGGGGGGGGGGGGGTGGGGGAACCGGGTGGGGGGGGGCCCCCAGTTGGGGGGGGGGGGGGAGGTAGTGGGGGGAGCTGAAGAACTTAGATGCTACTTCGTTTCTTAGTAATGGTTCATGAGGGATGTCTTGGTTGCTGTTGTGGTTCTCGAGAGGAGCGATTGGTAGGCAGCGAAAACTACCCGCCGGCCTGCTAGCTGTGACCCACCATAAGATAAAGGGGCACTTCATTATCTCCCTTTTATAACAGAAGGGGAGGGAGGGCGAATTGCCATTCCAACCGTCGTGGGGAAATTTCGGGTAACGTACTGCTGTGGGTGCGTGTTTGTTGTTGTTGTTGTTGTTGTTGTGGTATTCACACAAACAGCCAAAAACCGTTCTGGGCCCACAAGTATCCATTGCTGCTGCTTTGCACCTATGTATACCTTTACCTTTGCACTGCTGCCTTCCTGTGAGTCGGCTGCCGTGCGTGTCACATGTGCATTTGGCCTCGATTTTCAGAGGTGCAATATGTAACCTGACATTGCTTCACTTGGTGCACCCCCCGGGGTGATAGTACAGACCGATCATACATACAACAGCCGCTGCTTCCTCTGTTGACACACCGAAACACGGTCACCGCCCAAACCTTTTCGGGACCACACAGAAATACATAACGGTCCAGCCTGCCGTTGCGGGCTTCCTAAAACACAGGTGGAACCCTCGAAGTCTATTGATGGCCTCCTTCATTGGCAACAACCACATTCAGTGTGCAGTAAAGCCATGGGATCGGTTGAGACTTTTCTGCGTACTGCACCGTGGGGTGCGGTACACGGAGGAGGTTGCTGGTGCAACAAGACAGGCGGTGCATGGCATACAATGGCGCGAGTTTTTTTTGTACGCATAGCATGATCCGATCGTACCGCATGATGATACCCCGCTGCTGCTGCTGCTGCTGCATCGTAGCCTGCCTCCGGATGATACGCTGCTGCTGTCGGGTCGTACTCTCCGCTGTACCCGGGGTGGTGCTGGCCGTGCTCGTCCCAGTAGCCGCCAGCTCCGTCTCCGTTCTGGTCGGCTTCGTCGACACCCCACCCGGCCTCTTCCCCCTCGCCGGCTAGCCCCACGTTGCCTACAGCAACGGCTGTGCTCCTGCTGCTGCTGCTCTCCGCAGCAGCAGCAACTTGGAAATTAGCCGCATAGGGATTCATGCGCCGGCTTCTCGCAGGTTACTCCTGGCGATGCAAGGCAACCACGGCACGGTCCCCTTACGCAGAAGCTTGCTACGGGGGACGCGATTTGCTTTCGACGCTCGACCGTCAGCAGACTGCCCTAGCACTCCGCTCTGAACACAACAGCAGTAGTGAGTGCGCTGCCTCTCTCTCTCTGCTCTCTGCTACTTGTCGCTGTTTTTTTTTTCTAGGGTAAAAAAACGCCAATGCGGAACATTGGAGACCCGATACATTCTGCGAACCCCCTCCTCCCGGCTCGCTCGCTCGCTCGCTCTCTCAACACAGCGCGGAGAGTTCGCTTGTTGTGGAATTGTGGAGTCGCCACGCATCGCCCTTTGCTGTTGACCTTCCTGCTTTGGAAGCGGGAAGGAGTGGGCTCTGGCTGCCCGATCCCGACCAGCGTTGAATCTGCGCTTCGCCGGACGCCGGCGCTCTTTTCCGGACGCATCTTGAAGGTATGTCATCATCACACAAATGGCGGTGTTACTGTGGGAACAAGCTTGCAGCAGCCGACATCTTCTAGTGTCCCGCTGCACGTATGGCACCGTACCAAAATGACGTCCTTGCATTGGTTGGGATAACTCAATGATTTACACGATGATATGCCAACCGCGCGAAGTGCATCCGTTCAAGGAAGGGAGCACCAGACCCCTTGCAACACCACCCACAACATGCTTTCTGAGACATTATGAAGGAGACAGATTCTCTCCGTCCTTACTGTATCCAACAGCACCGCCTCTACTGCTGTGCACGTACGGCCGAAGGAGGGCTTTTCATGGGACGAACACAAGGAAAACAACAAACACACAAATACCGCCGTGATATACTGCAATAAAAAGTTTACACTTTGTAGGCATGCAATCGGTGTGCACTTGCGGACTGGCGGTACGATTTTTTTCGCGCGGGACGTTACAGCATTATTTTTACGTCAACAATGGACAAATCCACCAAGGTTTGCCTCTCTCTCTACCCCTGACTGCTGTGAAGACTCCCAACACCCCCGATTGGGGTACTATCTCGAAAGCAGTAGTCGTGCTCTGTTGTTATGTACTTAATTTCTAACGAACGTTGAAATGCTGCTGGTCTATTGGTGGAACGGGTCCTTTGTAGTGTTGAATTCCCCTTCATCCTGTTTCTTGTCACGTAGGGAAGGTGGTCATCACGCTACTGTGGATTCATTTGCAACGTCCTCTATCTGCGGAAGAGACGAACTTGTTGTGTTTTCGTAACAAAAACAACAACAACGACCAACAGCAACAACAACCACAACACCCAATCGTTGCCGGTGGCATCACACAGAAGCGGCCCCGCGGCATCAGGATGGCTCCCGTCAGAAGGGGACTCGCCTCGTCCCTCGCCCTGTCCTTAGTGGCCTTCAACACCCCCCCACTCACGGGACCCCTTGCCGGGCGGGGGGGTCCCCTCGGGGCAGCGGCCGTCGACCAGAAGAAGTTTCGCAAGTGCGCCGACACCGGGTTTTGCAGGCGCAATCGAGACCGGACGTCGCCGCCCCAGACTCCGGTAAGCATCTTTTGTGTGCTGCTGTTGTTGGTGCTGTTGGTGGTGTCGGTGTCGGTGATGTTGTTGGTGGCATTGTTCTGATGCTTTTGGGCGGAGGTGGTGGTGTAGGTGGTGTGCGATTTGGCATGCACGGAAAATGACCCGTAACGGAGGGATGTTGAATTGTCATGGCATAGACTATCGTCAGCCCGGTACGTGGTAACGGAGTTGTTGTTTAGGACTCGTAACCCCGTGCGTGCGGGTTTTCGTATGGGATGCGGCCTCGGGGGTTCGGTGGTGGGGGTAGATTAGGCGCGCGCGGGGGGGGTTCCTCCGCGGGGAGGGATGTGAGACGGGTGTCTTTCTTGGCGACACACCTAAGCATCCTTTCTGTTCATGGGCCAGACACACGGCGACTTCAACTGCTGTACATCCTGGTTTTGCAAGACCTACGACAGCGATCGCCTCGTCAGTGGACGGTCGGTTGGAGAGCCCCTTTGAAGATTTTTGATCTACTTTTTTTTCATGTCTTTCTTCCCTCCCTCTCTGGCCTCCTTGTGCCCTTGATTTTCGAACATATTAATAAGAAGGTGGAGCTGTTTCGCAGGGCAGTTTTATTCGCGCGTTTTTCTTCTTTCCTTCCCCCTTTCACTCTGCTTTTGATGTTCTCCTTTCCGACACTCCTGGTTCTTGTCCCTGTCTCTTCTTTCTCTCTCAACTCACTGGGGGGGGGGGGGGGGGGGGGTAAAAATTCCCGGGCAAACCCCAAAACGTTCAGAAAAACCCGGAAGGAAACACCCCGAAAATTTGGCCAAGGGAAAGAAAGAACGCTACCCTGTTCCCCCCCGTCCCCCTCTAAAAAAAAGGGGTGGGCCCCCCAAAGGTTGAAAAAAAAACCCCCGGGGGGACCCAAAAAAGGGAAGGGAAGGCCAATGCTAAAAAAACGTAACCCAAGGTTTGAAAAAGGGAAATAAAGTTCCCAAAAAAAAAAAAACTAACCAGAAAAAAAAAATGTAAGGATTTCTGTTCCAAT